GGTTAGAGGACTGGAAGGTGGTTGGGGAATAGGAGAGAAGACTCTGGGTTTGGGGCAGTTCTTATGTTGGAAGGATCTCTGGGAAAGAGGAGTTGTGAAGTCTATGGGTCATAGGGGAGTTCTTCAAGCCTGTTGTCTTGATTTTCCCACTCTTTCTGGATCATTGGGTTTCCTGCAGCTCTTTCTCTCTCTGCCATGTCCCTGCTGGATTGTTTGAGGTCTTTGGTTAGGTGGGAGTTGTTGATGCACCTTTTTGCTATTATTGGAGGGGTATGTGAGGGATGCCTGTTTGTGGTTTTAGGTGGGAGCTGGTTTCTTCTGCATCCTCACAAGGTGGGAGTGTTAGGTTTTGGTTGTATTGGATGCAGAGCCACTGGGACAAATAGGTACAAACAGCTTGACTATGTACTGAGCCACTGTATTTCCTTTGTTCCTTAGTCCGTGCAATTGACCTTGCCTTCGGTTTGTGTATGTGTCTGGGCCTGGTGTGCTTATGGCCACCCATCTTATGCTTCCCTGTTCTGCCTGCTTCTAACAACAAGCGCTCTCCTGGGTCGGATCGCGCCAACGGAAACCCTTCTCATCCTCTCTAGACCCATAACCAGATCCTCCAGCTCCATAACCAGATCCTCCAGCTCCATAACCGGATCCCCCGGTACCAAAACCCCTTCTTCCACCAGCATGAGCAGCCAAAGCAATAGGGGAAGGCTCAGACTTGATGAAGACATCAGCGGAAGCAGTAGAACCAAGAAGAGTCGATTTTATGGTGGAGAGGGAGGGTTCATCCTTGGAAGTGAGAATGATGGTGCGGAAAGTGTCGAAAGATAAATAATAAATGATCGTGAAAGGGTTTTTTAAGATGAGATATGCATGGTTGCAATGTCTGTGCGGTGCGTGTGTCAAACACATGTGATCGTGAAAAAGTGTTTTGATCGTAACATTACCCCCTCCTCTAGGATCATGTCCTCACGATTAGTGTTGTGCGCCTCCGCGTCTGACAACTTCTAATTCGATGATTCCCCCCAGACTTGGTCTGCGTTGGCCGACTATTTCAAGGGAGTCGCGAGATCTTTGCCGATAGATGAGGATGGTAAATGTGATGCCGACTGCTGCAATCGTGGTGACTAGCGCGGCGAGTATAATGAATAGGATGATGTTTGAGGTCGGTAGTGTGAGCATGGTGTGATGGTGGTTTGTGATGGATGTTGATTGACGGCGTGCGTCCCAAAAAACAATTCGGCTATTTCTGATTGCGTCATTGATGGTAAATTGGTAGCTTTCTTTATTCTGGTCATCCACCGTTCGTAGTTGCTTGTCCATTTGTCCCATTCATCGTCATGAAATTTCTTTTTCTTTTTCTGATAATTATACATTCCTCAGTGCGCCAGGCACAGTGATCGTGGGCATCCTTGCCGCGTCAGGGTTTTGTCTATGGAAATCATCGATCAGGCTTTTGTATTGTCCAATTAAGCTTGATCGCGGTTCCCACGTGTCTTCTGATCTTGGTTTGTTTTCCCAGCGTACTAAATATTGTAATCCACCTTGTCGTACTCTTGAATCTAGAATTTTTTCTACTTTTGTTTCGATAGCCATAACATTGGGGATAGTTCATGTCGTTCTTTGATTAGGGAATTCTTGCGTATAGTAGGGCGTGAGGAGCACTTCATTAAATACAGGATGGATCTTCCATGCTTTAGGCAACTTGAGCTTATAGGCACTGTTTCCGAGCTTCTTGACGATTTCGAATGGTCCATTTCGTTTGTCGTCAAGTTTTTTGTTTGGTCGATCTGTGCGTATGTTGATTGCTTCAAGCCAGACCTTATCCCCTTCGTTATAATTTACCGGTTCTTGTTTCCTGATGTCCCATTTTTCCTTCATGTACTCCTTGGTGAGTTTGAGAGCGGCCGATGCCTCTTCTTGCAGCTTCTTCATCCTTGTGACAAATTGGTCTGCTTGTTTGCTCTTTATCTCTTTCAGAGTTTCCACTCCAGTGTAAGGGTGATATCCGTGGGTTAAAGAAAAAGGAGAGTATCCGGTTGCTGAGTGTTGTCTATTGCGATAGATGAATTCGCAAATCGGTAACCATTCAGGCCAATCGGTTTGTCGATAATTTATGAACATTCTTGATTGATTCGTTCGGTTTGTCCATCAGTTTGTGGGTGGTACGCCGTGCTTGGGTTTCCTTGTATTCCCAGCTTTTTGTACACGTCTTTGATGAACTGCGAGACGAATTGAGGTCCTCTGTCTGACGTGATACATTCGGAAAGTCCGTGCTTTGACCAAACGTGTTTGATATAAATATTCGCCCAGCCTTCTGAAGTCAATTCATCCGTGGTTGGTACTGCAACGAAATCTTTGGACTTCATGTCGACTATCACAATTATAGCATTATATCCTTGTGAAAGTCGCAAATGCGTGATCATGTCTACGGATATATATTGCCAATTCCTTTCAGGAATAGGATTAGGATGTAGAGTCGCAGCCTTCTGCTGATGATTTATTTTTGTTTTTTGGCATATGTCGCATCCCTTTACATAAGCTTTCACGTCTCTCTTGATGTTATGCCACCAATAAGATCTATAAATTAATTCTTGCATTTTCATCTGACCAGGATGTCCAGCAGAAATTGAATCGTGATGCGAAGCAATAATTAAACCTCGAAGCGATTTGTCATTGGGGATAACAATTCGCCCCTTCCTCCAGATCAGGCCGTCCTCAGTCTGAGAGAAATCCTTGTCTTTTTTTAGTATTTTTGCTTTTATGGATTCTTCATAATTATGTACGTGTGATAATATTTTGGTTTTTAAGGCTTCGGTGCCTAACACCTCCGTACTTCTAAACCAGTGAGGTTTTAATAGGATAGCGTTTTCGTTGTCAGAATCGCCTTTATCATGATCCGGTCTACGGGATAATGTGTCTGCCCTGATCATAGTTTTACCCGGTTGATGGATTAGGGTAAAATCATAGTTTTGGAGTTCTAGGACCCAGCGCGCTTGGCGTTGATTGAGTTTCTGCGGCTTTCTGAAAAATTCGAGATTTTTGTGAACAGTATAAATCTCAAATTGCTGTCTTGCACCGTGAAGGAAATTGTCCCATTCGTCGAGTGCTGTCATGATTGCCAGCATTTCTCTGTTGTAGATCTCATAATTACGTTCCGCCGGATTGAGACTTTTAGATAGGAATGCAATGGGTTTCCATGTATTATTTTGGTTTTGTGAGAGCACTGCTCCTAGTGCATATTTAGATGCATCGCACTCTATGTGATATTGGTCATGGTCGTTGGGTACTGTCAGTACTGGCACTTTTGTAATGGCCATTTTGAGGGTTTCAAACGCTTCCTGTTGCTCCTGTCCCCATGTCCACTCGGCGTGTCCGGTGAGTTTGGTCATAGGTTGGGAGATGGCAGCAAAATCCTTTATGAACTTTCTGTAGAAATTTGCAAACCCCAGGAATTGTTGGATGTCCTTTTTGTTGGTTGGCGTCGGCCATTGCAGCATCCGTCGTGATGACGTTAGGGGGTAATACATGAGATACAGTTTTATGTAGTCTATGTAGTGGGGCGACTCGGGTGACAAGCGAGGACCTGACCAGTCTGCTGAGCCTGGATGCTGCTGGAGCGTTGCAGCTCCTGAGAGTTTATCTTGATCATCCTGCCGAAGCCAACCTTGCATGCGGCCCTCCGGATGAAGTGAAACACGACTGCTGTACAGAGACTCGTGGATGGAACCAGCGCGGGACTGGGTGTGAGTGAGGGGAACTCCACCCGTCGACTGACTGGTCGCAGTTTTCCGTCCTTTTTTTTGACAAAGAAGAATGGTGCCCCCCAAGGCGACTTGCTGGGTCGGATCCTGCTGGTTTTTAGGTTTTCTTCTAAGAATTCATCCAGCGCTTTCTGTTCATCGATTGCCATTGCGTATACTGTTCCAGAATAGGGTTTGCTGTCTGGTAAAAGTTCAATGACATGGTCCCATGGTCGATGTTCTGGGAGCGTGTTGAATGTTTCCTCTTTAAATACGTCACTG